TAAGACTAGGTCTTTATCTAGTCAAAATTCTGAACCAATGGTCATCATATGACCACCAATTCATGCACCCCTATTCAGCCCAAAAAGGGTCCAGATACATTTGAGCTGTTGCATTCAAGTTTGAATCAACTAGCTCACTGATTCTCTCAACAACCAAATCTGATTGGAGCTTGTTGGTTTGACAAGATGACGATCATCTCCTACCAAAATGGCGCCCCAAATTAGCCCTTGGAGATCTCCACAGATCTTCTCTTGATACAAGGGATTTGTTCCAACAACATCTCATCTTATCCTTTTGTTATGAAACAACTTTTCATAACCAATTCAAATTTGAATTCAAACGTTTAAATTCAAACATTCAAACATTTAAATTCGAAATTAAAATTCAAAATTTCAAATTCAAATTCAAATTTCAAATTCAAATTTCAAATTCAAATTTCAAATTCAAATTTCAAATTCAAATTCAAACATTTAAATTCAAAATTAAAATTCAAAATTTCAAATTCAAATTCAAATTTCAAATTCAAATTCAAACATTTAAATTCTAAATTAAAATTCAAAATTTCAATTTCAAATTCAAATTTCAAATTCAAAATTAAAAATTAAAAATTCAAAATTCAAAATTCAAAATTCAAAATTCAAAATTCAAAATTCAAATTCAAAATTCAAATTTCAAATTCAAAATTCGAATTTCAAAATTTAAATTCAAATTTCAAATTCAAAATTCAAAATTCAAAATTCAAAATTTAAATATTTGATAATTAGTTTAACTAATTAAATTAATTAGTAATGTCTTGGACCATCCAAGCCCATTAACAATACCATGCGCCTTTTCTCTCTTAGGTGGGCTTCCAAACTTCATCTTGGGCTAACAACCATTATTAGGCCCAATACCTTTAATGCTATATCATCATGACATTAAGGTGTTAGTGTGTGACCCATTAGGTCCAACATAGCCACTGACATAAATGGGCTCAGGCCCAACAAGCCCACAACCCATTTAATGACAACACAGAGCACTAGCAATGCTTTGTTGCCCCAGAGCTAGTTAGATTAATGACTTGATCATTCTATTACACATATTTGGTTGCCGTATATATTTCTTTTCGTCTCGGTTACCTTCCCATAAAACCTAGGGTAAGGAAGCGTATCAACCCTTGCGGTTTAGGGTAAGCTTTATTCGAAATAGGGAATCTTCAATTTACTGACTCTAAAGGCAGATCATCTCATGATCTCTTTTACTATGCATAGATTCCCGAGTCCCTATAAATGTCATCCCGATTTCTCCGGTTTACAGATAACTTAATCTCTCACAGAGATTTGACGAATTCCTTCAGCTTATCACCCTAGCCATGTGCTCTTTCAGGACAAGCCCAACAGTATACCTATGAGTCTCCATGTTTCAGGCATACGAGGTATACAGTCAAAGCATGCCTTCTAGAACACAGTCTAGGTAATAACTTCTGGTCTAAAGAAAGACATACCCAATTTTCTCCCAATGGTCGAATTTTGCATCTTTATGCATAATTCAAATCTTTGTCAAATCTTTCTCAAAGATCACAAAAATTAAACCATTTATTCAACCATAACTCATATGGCCGAACCATACATCATCATATACAAAAATTTTATTAAATAAAATCATGGAGAAAATAATGCATTTGAATATTCACATCATGGCAGAAACATATTCCCTTTTCAAAAAAAAAAATGTTTCTTTTGAAAACTTTCACAAAGAATCAAAACAAACAAAACCATGAGGTCATGTAGATATATGAACACCATAATCATATTAAACATGTTCATAAAAAAAATCCACATGCAAAGAATTAATCTTTAACAAAAAGACCTTTTGACCGTGAGAAAATTAATTTCACAAACAAAGTACCATCACCCGCCGATGGTAAAGCGATCGGGCTCTGATACCACTTGAAAGTAAAATGGCCTTGAAGGCCGTAGCATGTGAGAGGAAAAAACAAAAATTTTCATATGCGGAATTACACATGCAATCAAGAATCATGTTTTATGGCATGTGATGTTACCTTTGTATGTGAGTTCAAAACTCCAAGACGATCAGTGTTAGGTTTGCAGAGTTCAAACCCTCTAACGTTGATCCACACCACCCACGTCAAGATGCAAGAACGCTTTCTTGAAAGCCACCAATTGACCACCACAGAGAGGCTTGCTATGCTCTCAATAGGTGAAGAAGGAGGCTAGGTATATGTGTTTAGAAGAGTGAAGTCTCCAGCATGAAAACTTCACAAGAGTGGGAATGGTATATAGAAGAATTGGCTTGGTTCTTTTGAAAAACCTTAAGGAGGAACTCACCAACTAGGCGCACAAGAGAGGGAGAGAATTAATGTATCAAATCAGAATTTTTACTTTACTTATAATGAAAGTGGCGCACAAGTGAGTGAGACAAAGGTGGAGTTGTTACAATTCAAAAATCCCAACAACCTCCCCTTTGAATCCTCGTAAGACTAGGTCTTTATCTAGTCAAAATTCTGAACCAATGGTCATCATATGACCACCAATTCATGCGCCCCTATTCAGCCCAAAAAGGGTCCAGATACATTTGAGCTGTTGCATTCAAGTTTGAACCAACTAGCTCACTGATTCTCTCAACAACCAAATCTGATTGGAGCTTGTTGGTTTGACAAGATGACCATCATCTCCTACCAAAATGACGCCCCAAATCAGCCCTTGGAGATCTCCATAGATCTTCTCTTGATACAAGGGATTTGTTCCAACAACATCTCATCTTATCCTTTTGTTATGAAACAACTTTTCATAGCCAATTCAAATTTGAATTCAAACGTTTAAATTCAAACATTTAAATTCTAAATTCAAATTCAAAATTTCAAATTCAAAATTTCAAATTCAAATTCAAATTTCAAATTCATATTTCAAATTCAAAATTCAAAATTCAAAATTCAAAATTCAAATTCAAAATTCAAATTTCAAATTCAAAATTCAAAATTTAAATATTTGATAATTAGTTTAACTAATTAAATTAATTAGTAATGTCTTGGACCATCCAAGCTCATTAACAATACCATGCGCCTTTTCTCTCTTAGGTGGGCTTCCAAACTTCATCTTGGGCTAACAACCATTATTAGGCCCAATACCTTTAATGCTATATCATCATGACATTAAGGTGTTAGTGTGTAACCCATTAGGTCCAACATAGTCACTGACATAAATGGGCTCAGGCCCAACAAGCTCACAACCCATTTAATGACAACACAGAGCACTAGCAATGCTTTGTTGCCCCAGAGCTAGTTAGATTAATGACTTGATCATTCTATTACACATATTTGGTTGCCGTATGTATTTCTTTTCGTCTCGGTTACCTTCTCATAAAACCTAGGGTAAGGAAGCGAATCAACCTTTGCGGTTTAGGGTAAGCTTTATTCGAAATAGGGAATCTTTAATTTACTGACTCTAAAGGGAGATCATCTCATGATCTCTTTTACTATGCATAGATTCCCGAGTCCCTATAAATGTCATCCTGATTTCTCCGGTTTACAGATAACCTAATCTCTCACAGAGATTTGACGAATTCCTTCAGCTTATCACCCTAGCCCTGTGCTCTTTCAGGACAAGCCCAACAGTATACCTATGAGTCTCCATCTTTCAGGCATACGAGGTATACAGTCAAAGCATGCCTTCTGGAACACAGTCTAGGTAATAACTTCTGGTCTAAAGAAAGACATACCCAAATATAAAGAGACTACTCTAATGATACTCTCTGTGAGATTTCCTCATAGAGTCTCTTTTGTGGGTCTGTTCAGTGCGAGCTATACCCTTATAGATCCACTCACGACTTTAGCTAAGACATCTCCATATCTGTAGCTCATGAGGTCTTTACCTTGCATCTGAATACAAGTAGATAAGCTGTGCTAGTCTTACCCGAGATCACTGATCCCCATTCTCAGTGTCTCTAGACTAGGAACATAAAATTAGGAATAAATATCCAGTATCCTTTAATCCTCATGATCGTGATCTCATCACAGATACTCAAGAGATACCTATTTTATTCCAAGGGGTTTATCCAATTACTCATATAAAATATTAACAGTAATATTGAGACAAAATATGAAACAGGATAAATAGTACTTTTATTTATTTGCGACAATACAAAGGTCCACATATGTCCTAATCTAATTAAAAGATTGTCTCTAGGACATCCATATACTAACACTTCTAACATCAAGGAATGACTTTTCATTGTCACATCATGATTCCGCAACATAGTTTCCTGCGATTTGATTGATACTTCCACTGCAACAATCCTTTTGCATCCAATGCATCTACACTTTGTGCAGTCATTCTTGTAAGTATACATCAACCAAAACAAATTTGTCCCTTTGAAATCTCTCAACGAAAGCACTGATTGATACGAATAACTCCCTATGTAGAGTCTGGGAGAATTTTGTTTAATCAACAACGGAAAAATTAAAAAAAAAAATTAAGGCCAAATGCTCCCCGTAAAGAAATAGATTCTCTTGCCCCAGCCTCATCTAAACTATACAGAAATACTTACATACCCAAACTATACCATAAACTAATCCTATATATAGAACACAAACTGCATTTCCTAATGGCAGTTATTAGCCGTTACAAGTCTCGCACTCTGAAAAATTGATCACACCCACTTCTAAAAATAACTACTAAAATAGCTGAACACTAATTAAATCTTAGCAGTTACAAGTGCTGCATTCCTATCAGTTAGAATATCTAGAAAGTATTGTATAATATCTTGATTATATCTTAAAATAGTTTAGAATATCCGAAATGATCTGTTAGGAATAGATTCCTTATTTCCTTATATTTCGTGATTTTATTTCCTTATTTTAGAAGTTCCTATTTAGTATAAATAGGGCTTATTACTTTTCCTTTTGTACCACTTAATTATAGAATATTATTCAATCTTTATTTTTATTTTTCCCTCTATACCTGAATTCTATAATCTCAACAATACTTTTGTACATATGCAGGCTTTTAGGAAAAAGAATCTGTTGAAAAATCGGAAAATATCACAGGTAAAACAAGAGGGGAAAGCTCTGCAGGATTTCTATGGTAATTGGTCTCCAGCAGCAGAACCGGCTAGACAATTTGAGAATCATATGGAACCTTCTGTCATACAATCTTCTCCGTCTTCAATTCTAGGGCAACCGAAGCAGCTTCATGGACCTGAAACACTATATCAGAACATCATAAATCCATATATGGCATCTTCTGTGTATGGGAACCTTACTAATACCTATCCGCCTATGCCGATAATATCACAGACTCTGTTGGGAGATCTTAGGCGTCAACCTGTGCTTTCTGGGTATGAAGTGTCTCCAAGTATAGTGAATCCAGTGAAGAAGCCTATGGACTCATTCAAGCGTCAAACCATGACTCCTCAGGAGAAAATTGAAAAATTGAGGAGGCGGCAGCAAATGCAGGCATTACTTGCTATTCAGAAACAGCAGCAACAATTGGACCATCAGGTTCCTAGCAGTAGTAAATCCATCACTCAAAAATGTCCCCCAGAAATTCAAAGTCATCGTAGTGATGGGACTGCTCCTGAAATTGAAGATCTTAGAGCTCTTCCTGCTCTGGATCCAGCAGCTGAACAAGATGATTCGAATACAATATCTGTGGCAGTTGATAATGATTTTGCTGAAGACACCATACTGTACAGGCTTCAGGATATTATATCAAAGGTACAGTTTTATTGCTAATTGCTAATATATGCTTTATAGTATAATTGTTTCCTTGTATACTAATTCGGACATGGCTACAATCCGGAGGCGAACTTTTTCTACAGTTAGACATCAAAATAAGACTCTGCATCAGAGATAGCTTGTTCCGGTTGGCACAAAGTGCAATGCAAAGGCATTATGCTAGTGACACAAGCAGTACAAATAAAAGTTGCAGAGAACTTGAAGTTTTTGCTAGAGATGAAAGGAATAGCCAAAACAGGTTCGGAAAGCTACCATAAAACTCTACTACTTTAGTTGCATTGACTTTGCTTTTTGTTTATTAGTCAAGATCTTATTATTATGAATTCAGTATCATTCCTTCACCTCTGCTGGACATCATAAGCAAAAAATGAGGAAAACAATATAGTTCCTGTATATTTTCTAGAATATCTGGTGCTTGTGTACGAGTTCTGTATATTTCCCTTTTTCATCACTGATGGACAAATTCACACAGAAATATTTGGAATACATTATGGTTTCAATGTTTCTTGTAGAACCACTTTGCAAACCTTAATATCGTTATCCACTGTGTACATCACCCAATAGTGCTATTTTCTGTTGTCACTCAATTACCACAACCTTTTTCCTGCTCCATGCCACAATTCTGGCTAGTTTCTTCCCCCACTAAGCAATAACTAGTGGTGCCTTTGTCCATCCCAATATGCTTTTTCCCAGTGATGTTCTCTTTTATCATTTGGACTAGGCACTTTCTAGTCTATTTCCTAGATTTTCTAGGCTTTTAGTAGTTGTGCCACCTTTTCTAGGAACGACTTTAGCAAAGATTTTTGCTGACCCTTTTCTGGTCTAATTCACATCTTGTGCCTCAGTTTTACCACACCAAAGGGTTGTTTGGGGCTGTGTATCCACTCCAATTTATCGTCTGCTTAAATCTGATACTGTTTGGACTTGTGTTCACCACATTAAGTTGAAAAAGGGAGTTGTCTTAGAGAATGTAGCCATGAGAAAAGCAGCCATACCTTTTTTGTGGTCGAGTATATCCAAGAAAAATACATTTTAGTGATTGAAGAGTAGCTTATAACTTTCTATAGAGAAGTCATGATGAAATCATGTTGAACCAAAAATGCTATGAGATACAAGATAAAGAGATTGGTTAGGGAAACTAATAAAAACCTTGGGATGCACCACCTCAAAAGCTAGCTCAAAAGGTGGGAGTGCTCAAGGCCTGATAAACCCCAAATTAGTTGCTTATACAACCAATGTGGGACTCCAAGTCCCATACCTTGAAAATGGGTCCTAACATTCATCATGCTTCGCAGCCCAAGCCCAGGGTTCCAAGTCCAAGGGTCCAACCCCCGGGTTCCAGTTTCAGGTTCCAATCTGCAAAACATAATAGGTGCTCTGATACCATTTGATAAGAACCTTGGGATGCACCACCAAAAGCTAGCTCAAAGGGTGGGAGTGTCCATGAACTTATAAACTCCATATTAGTTGCTCATAAAACCAATGTGGGATACCATGTCCCATACCTTTCAAATGGGTCCTAACAGAAACAGTGCAGTTGAACAGCTAATGTAAAACAAATTAAAGTGACATCCAAGTAAATAGAGGGTTTGTGCTGCACAGAATAGACGTGTCTTTTTTGTTCAACTGAACACCTATTCATCACTAAAATAGGGCTTCTGTTTCCTCGTTAGCACATTAAATATTGATCGATCCAACTTTTTGGTTATGTTGATTGCCCTGTTAAGATGCTAACTATTTTTCCTGTATGGACCATGTTGGTATCACAGATATGCCAGGATGCCTGATGTTGAAACACAGACCAATCCCGTTGATCGAACTGTGGCTCATTTACTCTTTCATAGGCCTGTTGAGTTAACCGGAAGCTATTCTGACAGATTGGAGTCACCCATTTCTAGTAAGGTGCAATGTGAAAGCAAAGCAGCTAACCTGGTGAACTTTCCTGTGAGGTGCTTACCAGATGAAGACTTGAAAAGTAATCAACAATTTTCTCACCTTGGATTTAAGAATTCTTGGTCGTCATTTGAGGCTATGGATCAAATTAAAGACAGCCCCTGCATAGACACTTCAGATAATGCATCTAACACTCAGGAGCTTGAAACTTCTCAATGAAGAAAGATTTTCTCCAGAAATCTGAGGGTAATTCCTTCCTTACTACTTCCACGCTTATTGCTATGACTTTCTTATTTCAATTATATATGTATTTACTGGTAATGCAATTGTTTTATGTTATTGTCAGCCATCGAGATCATTATCAAGCGCAAGTATCAGTGTAGAATCCTGAGCACCAGTTTCATGCATGTATGTTATCAGCAATATTTCTGTTTCTGCTGTTTTAAAACATGATAGCATGTATCCTCAGTATCTGGCCATACTTTAGGTCTTGAGTGCTATGTTTAAATGTGTGTAGCAAGGCCACTCAGATGTCAAATTAATCAAGTCTTGGGTTGACTGACTGAGACCAGGCTTTAAAGTCGGTGTTGTATTTCTGTATGTAATACTTGCCATACTTGCCCCTCATCCTTAATGTTTTGTGTGTCTTTATTTGAGATTGAGTCATAAACTTGTGATTTTTAATTTGAATTCTAGTTTGTTCTTGGTTTCTGACCAAAATTGTGTCCAATGGAGCAATAACAAGCCATAATATTTGTCTACATCTTAATAATTTGAATTTTCAGGTTGACTGGCATTCTTAAATGGGAGAGTTTACTCGGTTGTCACCTCATTTCACATTGATTATATTTCATGCTAATGCTTATTCTTTGCTATGCTTTTGAAGGTGAAAAAGATTGTTAAAAATGGCTTTCTGATAATGCAGTCAATATTAGCCTTAGCCGTAAGTTAAATTGCCTTATTTGAATGGGCTGTTTTCGTCCTTCCCCACAGCCTGAGTGCTTGATAGGCCAATGAGCTAAGAAATCATGTCTTAATCCATAAAAAGTCTGATATCTTGGTGGAAGTTGTTGCTGCTTTTTCTGTTTTTTGACGCTGAAGACTGTCTATGAAGATATAGTTGATGGGCGATTTCACTGATGAGGAAATATGGTCACCGGATTGGAAATTAAGTTTTGATTGGGAGACAGAAAAATCTTAGTACTTTTCAAACAACAAAGCTAACACATACGGCCGTTAACAAAACAAGTGGTGGTTTTTATGGTACAACGGGTGAGGAGACATCGTTTAGCGCACTGAGCGATGCGACTATTTTAGGTGGCAAGTGGATTCTGAAATAAAATATCAGCCATTAATTTTATGAAACATGTAAAAAGATATCACTTTTGCTGGTTTGCTTCCTTTTAAAATTATTTTATATAATTGTTTTACAAAATAAAAATAGAGAAAAACATTTATCCTTCTAAAAGATAAAGAATTTGTCATTTTAATTCAACGGACCATGTTTTATGGGATGAGAAATTTGTCACGCAATGGATCATTATTGTGGAGAAGAGTGAGAGGTTATTAATAAAAAAATTAAATTTAAAAAATTAAATATCAAGTGAAACAGTACTGTTTTATTTAAAATGACATTTTTTTTATCCGAGAAATATAATTCTCATAAAAATATTATAAAATTTATTTGATGAATTTTATTTTAAAAATAAGTTTTGAGATTTTGAAGATATTCAATGTGGGCGACAATGATGATGCTTGTTGGCCTTGCTAAAGATTATGCAAGATATGCGCAAGTATACGCAGTCACAAATAATATAAGGTCTTAAGTTCCAGTTATCGTTCCCACAAGAATCTTTTGGCGAAATGTTCAAAAGCACAAAGTGCAATTGCTTAAAACTGAATGTAATCTAAAAAGAGAGTGATAATAAAAATAACGTAACACAAAACAAAACGGCTTTGAAATAGCACTAACTACGTTACTATTTTTTTTTTAGACTTTTCTGAATTAATTTCTTAAGTCAATGGTTCTAAAAGATGACAAATAATAAGAAAGCAATTGAAATATTGTTTTGTCTATTTTTGATCTAACAAGATTTTTATAAAAAATGTAACACAAAAGAATGATTAAAATTCTAAATCAGAGAAAAAATGAGTTGGTGAAAATCTTTAGAAAAATAGGTTTGACTTTCGGTTTACCTTTTCCACAACATTGGATTGACTACTAATTATATATTGCTTGATTTTTAATTCCCAATTAACGGACTATTGTTGATTTTAATCCCTTAAAATTATTTTATGTCAAATCTTCATTTACACATCATTGTGCTAATGAAATAAGGACTCATGCATTTCAAGTCCAAAGTTACATGGTGGGTGTCCTTATCTCTAAGTGACAGCCCTTGAATGATCTCTCATTCAAGCCCATGTGCTTAATGCATTTTCCAGAATTAATCACTTCTCGATGACTTCTTCTTACTGCAACATCTAACATCAGGCCTCAATGAAAGAATGTTTAAAGAACAAGCATGGCATTAAACAACTGAGAATTAAAAGTTAACAACAGTAATTAGCAATAAACCATCACTGAGGTTCGGGTAACCTAAACCCAACCTTCGAAGGTTTAGCTCATACCCATAAGGATTGAGCTACAAAAACAGAAAATGAAATGAAAATTACCAAGAAAAAAAAGTGCAGAAAGCTTAAAATACAGCACGAGTCCTATTCACAGAAATAGCCTCGGTACTGTTCTGACACATTCCACTCCAAACAAAATAGGATCCATTACAGTACCAGAAAACGCAAAAATAAACTAAAGAAAAATGGAGAAGAAGGATTTCCAGAAGAAGATCCTCACATCAACTATTCCTCTTCTTTTATAGCTCCCTTCCCTCGCTTGCATGGGCTTTGGGCCTCTTCAAAAATAGCATCTTCGCGCGCTTCTTCCACACGAGCCGCACGAGCATTCCTTGCACTTTTTTTCTTTTGCTTCACACTTACATCAAGCATTTACAAAAATCCCGCTACCCGATTGTAACAAACTCCATGTCACTAATCGGTTAAGGTCAGTTTGGGTTGAACGCTCAACTTAAGGGACAATGGGTGAGGGGCTAAGGCTCGATGGTTAAACCGAAATTAAAGACCAGTGTGGCTTGGTGTTTTGATTTGTAAAGAAGAATCAAGGTGGAAGGTTTGGAATTGTGGTGAATGGAAATGGGTTGGTTCACACGATGAGGGTTAAGGTTCTATGGCTTTAGAGTGCTTTTCTCCAATTTGTGTTCAGCGTTGTCTTGGCTTTCTTTCTTACAATCTTTTCTCTTACTTGTTTATTTGGGCCTTTTTGACTTGCATTGTAAAATTCAGCCCACTTTCTTTTCTTTTCTTTCTTCTTTGCTTTGGGAAGTCTTAATATGTGGGCTTGAAAATCAAAATGAAGCCCATTAGCATTTAAATCAACAACATTTCAGCTCAATGTAATTGGGGTATATATTAACCCAAAAATTATTCTTTTTTTTTTTACATTTTCATATCAGAAATCATATGTTTTAAGTCACGTCAATGCTACTATGCTAGTACCGGTGGTAGGTGATTAAAGTGAAACTTAAAAATTTATGAAAATAGATTAAAGAAAATTAAGCAAATAAAATGTGTTCTTAATTTTATATTCTAAAAATAAATGTTAAAACAAGATCAAACCGGCTGAGCCGATGAACCGAAAACCCGACCACGAATCGATGCGTCCAAATAAAGTATAAGTTCGGTAGGTGAACCGATATGGAACCAATGAATTGATTATACCGGCACCAAATTTTGAAGTTACTTTTGGTTTTGTATTTTTGGTGCAAAATATTGGCTTATTATTGGGTGTCAAACCAGGTACCTTCATGTGCAAGTCCATAACAACAATCTCTAAGAGAGAATATCTTGTTAGATATAACTCTTAACATTTATTATATTATATTTTTATATATATATCACTCTCTGGTTGAACCAATAAGCTATTGATCTAATATTTTGACTAAATCGATAATTGGTCCAAGTTTAATAACAATTCTAAAATAATCAAATAAAAAATATACACTCAAATTGATTTTTGTTTTTGTGTTTAGTTTTGAAATTAAGTTTTTCTTTTTCAAATATTGTGATTAGAGAGGCTGTATTTATTTTATTTTTTTCGCTGTGGCAAGTTGTGAAAGTAAACCCAAAGACCAAGTGATTTTTGTCCATTAAAATCTGTTTTGGAAAGGGTACCGGAGAATAGGTGACAACAAGCTCGCTGACGATCAAGCAGTCCCAAAAATATCCTCTCAAGTGCAAGCAATTACTGAAATTTTCTGCCCATTTTAAGCATCTCAAACAAATAATAATCTTGGATTTGTCACTGTTGCATGTATGGCAGCACAATGCAATAGAAGCATTACACGACACAGCGATAGGCTACTAGAGAATCAACCAAATCACCTTTGTGAGTGATCTTGATGACTTGTCCTTTCCGCAGAGCATAGTAGCGAGCTATGGGATCAGTTTTTAGCATGTACGGTAGCTGAAAAGACAAAACAAAATAAGATCTAATTAATGGCACAATCAATTCTGCACTAATAAATTTCTATTACGGTACACCGGCAGTGAAAATAATCCACTTGAGTAGCGAATAGAGCATAACTAATTCATAATTTTAAGGCTAACTAATAGCAATAGTATGCTGCCTTTATCTTTCAGCTAAGTGCCATGCAACAATTTACATTTTTATCACACTAGTTTCCACAAGCAATATATATGATTTATCATTATCTGAAATCTCCAAACCCCTCCCCCGGACCCAAATTTTAAACACCATTTGCTTAATCATCGTTAACCAGCATGAAGGTGAAAGCTGAATGACAATATCACCTTTCATTTATTCTCTTTCGTGCATGGAGTCTACAGAAAAACCAATCTAAACTATAATCAAAATATGGTGACGCACCCCTTCCTCTCTTCAACACTTATAACTCAAAAGGAAAAGATCTCACAAAGTGCTCACTGGTTATAGACAGTCAATCCAATGAGTAGAAGCATCATTAGAAACATACTTTACAAACATACTTTACCTGCTTCTCTTCCACATTGTACTTCATTAGCAGTGCTCGCTTCTCATCATCAGTCAGCACCTCATACTTTGGCTGGAGTACATGCTTTGTTATATTGAACAGCATGTCATTCATCTAGAGGCAAAGTAATATGGTGTTATGGACGTAAATCCACCTTTCGTATAAAAGCAAAATTAAAAGTGGCCTGAATTCTGAAGTAATATTATTTGTTAATGTTGCTTGTATAAATTCTAGTCGGGTTTAACGGGGAGTGGTTTGGTTGCTTGTTATAAATTCCAAATTCAAAATCAGAACACGTGATGTGAACATGACATATCAAGAATCTTCCCAATATCATTGAATGAACTCAGTAGGAAATTTTCATCTAGGCATCATGCTACAGCTAAAGATGTCATAGATGAGCTCCCTTAGCAAGTTTAATCTCAAATTAAAGCAGTAAACCAGATAAATGATTCTTTTTGTTTCAACTCTTGGACTAAAAATGCCAAAATAAGACATATACAGCTCTGGAACATATTTCAAAAATTCATGTTTTCTGATTTAAAAAAAGGAAAGAAAACAGGGCATAACACCATTTCTAGAAGAAAGAAAAGCAATCCTCTCACAAATATTAATGCTCTGCAAGCATATTTAAACATGGGAACCTGATACCTCATACCAGTGGAAAAGGCTAAAGCTTGATTAGAGAGTGATCATCACAAGAATTTTGTTGAAATATAAAATCTTCGTGGAATTAAGAAATTGGCATGATATATATTCTAACATATAAAAGTAATGCAAAAATAACTGGAAGTTAATGCTTAGTTTACTCGGAAGCATGATAAACTTATTCTAGACCCCTTCAACATTTTGTTCAAGGAAAAAGCAATTTGTGACTTATTTTGTTAGCATCACTATGATGAAGCTTCCTAATTTATCTAGTAAGCCCTCTGAACAAACCTCTAACCAGTCAACTGCAAAAGATATTCTTGAATAGGCCCCTGGTGTGAACTTGTGGTTGCAGGGTGAGATAAGTGTCAAAAGGGTAAAGACTCCAATCTTCAAATGTAAGAATTAGATCAAACTATAGGAGAAAATTTTAAAATCACCTTCTAGATAGTGTCAGCTAAAATAGAAAAGTTATGGTCCTCATACAATACAAGAGCAAAGCAAACCTTTCGGAAAAGAGGTCTCACATATCTTCATAGCTCTCCAACATATTATGCACAAGAACAACTAAAATGCTAAAATAGCTTTATTCGTTTCTGCATCAAAATATTTAAATAATAATAATAATAGTAATAATAAAGCATTCATGGAAGGGGTAACTTACTTCAATAATCTCAACTTCTAATGGACAGGTTTCCAATTCTTTCCGTGCAAATGCAGTCATTTTACTCTGCACAACAATTATCAGCCTATTCAATCTTTCTTCATTCGTAATCTGGCCATATATACCGAGGATAGTTGCCTTTGTTACAACAGAAGTTCCTGTAAAGACAACCAGTACCTGCACAGCAGAACGTCCTGACTCCTGAGCTACAGAACAGCAATAACAAAGTGAACGCAAAACGCATCCCTCATTCTATGCAATTACATCACTAATGATGAAATCCATACAAGAAGGTAAATCATTCTGCTGGAGAATATGTAATGCAACTAATCTGGAATAAAAAAGTTTTCTTTATCATACAAAATCAGCATAATTACCAATCCTAATGTCACTGTATTTGATGTGTGCTCTGCACCACAAAAATGTACGTTGATTTCAGCTTCATTTTTTCTTGGACATTGATAATGTTGAAATAGAATAGATAAAATGCATAATAGCTGAAGGTCAACATAACTTAGTAGTGACATTTTTCTCTAATTACTGGTTGAGGAACCTAATTCAGTTTTTAATTTGCTACATTTCCAGAAAATCTTCAATGAATTACAAAATATTTAGCAAAGTTAAAAATAAAATAGCACTGAATAAAAAGAACTTAATTATGAAGATAAAATTCAAAATAGTTTTCTAAGTTTTCTTCTTTTTTTAATGTCACTGACCCCGAATTCAATCAAAAATTTCTAATAAGGTAGCACTAGCATCCTTTGGTAATATTTAAAAAATAATAATAATAATAATTAGGAAAGCAAACTAGATGAGTGATCCTAACATTTTACCATCATTTATAAGCTATAATTACTAATTGCATGCCTTTGAGCGAACTGCTTTCACAGACAGAAAAGTGGATGAAAGGAATCAAACCTCAAAAAGCATGAGATATAACCCAACAAATTCATCCATCCAAACTTATCCTAAACCCACCCCCACCAAAAACAAAAAGGATTCACCTTGGTTTTGTTCTTCACTAAACTAAAAAAATAAAAAAACAGAGGTCCTGCAATTCAATTAATCTACAATGTTAGCAACCTCTGCAGCATCAGCTACTCCTCACTCTCTCCCATGCTTAACTATGTTGTGAGATGAAAATGGTGCAAGATCGAAAATACACCTAAAATAAAAATAAATAAAAAATAACAAAATCCTCAACAGAACTCTTCTAATTTCGATTACAACAGTTTCTATAGATTTAGACAAAAATAATAAAATGAAAAATAACATTATCAGCCACCATGACCAAAAGAGAAAATAGTAAAACTACATAAAAAGGAATCAATAAAATAATTGATGAAAAACAATAGAGAACGTAATAGCACTAAATAATCATTGGTTTTAAGTAACAAGGAGTTTAAACGTGACGTTCTTCGGATGCAATAGTGACCAAACCGAATTAGTTAGGTTTTAACGGTGCTAATTAAAACCGAATTAGTTAGGTTTTTGATGAAGCCGTTACAAAAAATAAGAGCCTCAAACATTGAGATAGCAGGGTGAAATATACAAGCAAGAAAAGCAACGGAATCGATTTATACCTTATGGAAGGGATGAGTGGAAAGGGAAACGCGGATACGTAAGGCTTCGGGATTCGGTTCTTGACCGAAGAGTGAACGAAACTCGGAAATAGAGCGAGTGAGTTCCGAGTTAGGGATATCGTAGCCTCTGTCTCTTAACATTTCGAGCACAGTCCTACGACACTGAAAGTAGCGAAGGCTCTCTACGGTTCCATCGTCCAATAATCCCACAATGCACTCACTCGCCATTGCGCTCTCTGCAAATGCTTCGTTTTGTTTGGTTTCAAAGTTTTTTTTTTCTTTTTATACGTAACGGACGGAATATATGAACAAGCACAGAGAAGAGTGACCGAGAGAAGAGAACACACCAACATCGTGACTGTGGTTGCTGTATATATATATATATAAATAATAAAATAAAGCGTGGACGCGGGAGTGAATTGGGGTTTTCGCAACTCGCTCTCTGTGAGATACACGTGGCGTGCCGTTTAATTTATTTATTTTTTAATTGAAGATGCAATTTTTTTAGGGTCAATGTTAAACAAAATAATAATTATGTAAGCCTTATTTAGAAGGAATCATATTAAATTTACTTAATATTCAAATGTGTTAATAAGAATATGTAATGGGTGGCAGTGTGGGACATTTGAACATGTTGCCATGGATTTCAAAAATATGTCGTTAATGGTGACAAACCTTAGGTCACTAAATTTGTTGTTAATGACAGCGAGTTTGATGGTCAAATGAGTCAAACTGCTCTTTGTGCCAAGTACATGTGTCAGATATTCTGAAACTTGTTATTAGTGTCAACGAGTTTCTAGATTCATACGGTGATGATATATGACATAAAATTTTGAAAATTTTATCATAAAACTTCATAGGGCCATAATTTTTGGCTCAAGTGTATGAATCATGTGATTTTTTTTATTCCACTTAATTTTGCAAGATATACACGACCACAAATATCCAAAGGGGATTTGATCAAAATATTTTTCAAAAAAATGCATCGTTGTGCCCTATTTGGTATATTTTATTTCTGTGAATGACGTTATTTAATTCCTATTTTTATATTAACTTTCCAACACTAACAAATAATCATGACTCATTAGTTATCAGCGCATAAATCTCAAAAAGTTATATGAAATAAAAAAAAAAATTCATCCAACTCAAACACCTAAGTCAAAAATTATGACCTTTTGAAAATGAGTTGATTGGTGTGATCATATATTCATTGCTACTGGCAATAAATTTCTCTGCTAGTGCCACACGGTATTTGAAACCCGTTGTCACTGCTGGCGGGTTTGCCACCTTGACATTTTGCTCTTGTGACATACCAGTTAATGTTTTTGAAAAATATTCCAGCACGATCAATGTCCTGTAACGTGTTACTAGCAACTCTAATTGTGTACAATATTTGATGATGTTTGTATGGGTCTTTTTTATATTTTGAAAGAGTGTCCATGTGAGACGCTCAAGCATTTCTGTATTTAGTGTTTTATCTCTTTGAAGACAATTTCTTTCAAGCAAGTTGGCCTTATATGATTGATTAAAAATTTAATGAATAAAATCCTTTCAGTCCAAACAATCTATGTTGATATTATTTTATTTTGTTTTGTTTTATTTTGGAATAAAGTATATTATATTGTTCCTAATCAAAAGTACTTATCTTTATTCAATAAGTGTAATTTGGTTGGTAATACATATTATTTGGTCCTCTCTATTTTAGTTTCATTTATCCTTATAAACAGAAGTTAGGGTAAACAGATTTTTATAAAAATTCTTATAATAAAGAGTTTTTTTTATAATGAAGAAAAAAGCCAAAAAATCATAAAAGGAGCTTTTTTTTAAGTTGTATCAGCCTTTTTTGAAATGTGTGCTTTTTTAAATAATCAATTTTTAAGCTAAAATTTTTATATAATCATCAAACAACTTATAGCTTTAATTTTAAAGCTCTTTTTTGTGGATTAAAGCTCTTATTTTTAATTTTAGCTTAAAAGTAATTTTTAACTTAAAAATAGCTTTTAGCTTAAAAAAGGATAAAATCCAAATAGACTCTAAGTTGAGGGAAATATGGGTTTGATTCTCACTAAATATATCTTTGGAGAGGGGCAAAAAATTTTAAGTATGACTACTCTCCCGATTCAATATTAATCTCATAAAAAATTGAAATTTGTGGGAATATCAAGAAATTGATTGCCTCAAAAAAATAATTATAATTGATGTTAAAAAAAAAACTCCTGTAGAGTGAAAAAAACAAATCACATCAAAAGAGCATATGATATAGCTCATTAGCTCTTTTATTTACTTGACAAATAACATTTTTGTTATTTGATGTTAATAAAAGTGAAATGAAAATATAAAAAAAATGAAAATCTTTGATTTTAAAAGATTAAATAAAATATGCCAAAATGGCATACCTAAAATAAAAGTTGGGAAAAATGATTTTGTTTCTCTGCAAAAATTATTTCTCTTGCACACTCATATAAAAATCAATAAATCCAATTGTAAAGAGAATAAAAAAAAAAAAGTAAATATCTTATTTGGTACTCAGCAAATTTCACGATGTCCATATTACTCTCTAGCAAATAAAAAGGCCCTTGTAGTCTCTAATAAATTCAAAATAAACATATTTAGTTAAAATCGTGGTTCCTCACAAATTTAAAAAAAAAAACTAATATTAGTTCCTAAAAGAACTAAGATGGATCCATTTTGAATTTCTTAGAGATCACATAAGCCTTTTTATTTGCTAGAGATTAAAGCGAGTATCACTAAAAAAAAGTATTATGGAACTGTTCATTTTTTAGGTTAGTGCGACACAAAAGTTATTTTTGTAAATTAAATCATAAAAGTTATATGGCAATATGGGCGTAGAAGGGCGTGCCTACGCTAATGTTGGCAGCCTAGTACCTTGAAAACATAGCCCTGCGATTCTGGTAGTTTTTTCGTGTTTTGTACCTCGTAGCTGCAAAATGCAACGAATTTCTGTTAATCGGGCCTCTTTCCCAATCAGATCAGAAAGGACAACTTTATGTACCTATACATTTTCGGTTAAAAAACTAAAAATAAAATTAAAAAACTCAAATTTATTCTTGAAAAGTTTTAAGAATAACTTCTTATGACTGAAGCCCAGATCCAATACTCAACACTGCCCAAGGCCCAACATGAAAAAAATTGTTAATAGTGAACTTTTGGATTACCTTTTTATTTGGTATTTGGAACTTCTCTTTGTGAGGACATATCCTAAATGTAATCAATAAAAATTCCTTTGAAGTTAATTACAATGTTGTATAAAGGAAGGGTTACACTCATCGCGAACATATATTTCCTCAAATACTCTCTATGTAAGGATAGGCATAATTCAATTCGATTTGATTTCAAAGGTTTGATTTGAAAATTGAATTAGTTTTAATGGTTCGATCTTTTTTTTTTATAAACCATATGTATCCTTTATGTGGGACAATTTTTTTCGGAGCAGGACTAGATGATACTGGGACATACTTCACCCCCCACCTGCTCAACTCTCATTTGTTAACTGACTTACCATCATTTTCTATTCTAATGGTTGGATTTGATAAGGAATCAACGCAGTCCATGCTTTAACCACAATTTCATAAACAACATAATGGATCATAGGGTCCCAACGGAATTCAAATATCTCGTCAACATAAAAATCAATTGTGACATTATGAATTTGCAAGAGCATCTAGATGTCTTCACAGTGTCGGAGCCAGCATGGCATGTTAGCCAGTGCCAAAAAATTCAGCTAGTGCCCAAATAGCTACGGCTCTCTGGCTACGACCAAAACGTGGCTAATTTTCAAAAAAATTGATACATAATTTGCTACGTTTCAAGTGTAGTTAAATGAACGTGGCTAATTAAGTCAGTGCCTAGGCACCTGCTGGCACCAACGTGGCTCCGCTATTGTCTTCACTCCTTCTATGTTATTCCAAGACGGGACCAACCATATTAAGTGATGCCTTTTCACTCACCCTCGAAAAGGCCGCATTGAGATTGTTCTTCTTTCTAATGCTAAAATCTATCAGTCATTAGGATGACTCAGTAACGAAATTCATGTTGCATTTCACCACCACCATGCAAGGAGCGGTCCCTATATATATATATATATATATATATATATATATATATATATATATATATATATATATAGGATCTTTTGACACCTCATCTGAGAGCCGTTAGATCAAAAAAGATCAATGACTCTGATTTGCAAGCATGTGACACCATTGATCTTTTTTTATGTAATGGCTCTCAGATGAGGTGTCAAATTTGAAATTTGACACCGGTGTCAAAGGATCCTATCTCATATATATATATATGGGAAAATATACTCTTATGTTGTAGGAGAGAATTTTTCTCTCCTACATATATACATCGATTTTCGGGTTACTTTTTTATTCCTTTTTTTTATAGTGGGTGGGTCCCACACATGATTATCTCTATTGCATGAGAGAGTTCTCTCCTATTGCATGAGATTAATAAAGCCATATATATATATATAGGGAAATTATACTCTTATGTTACATAAGACTCTTCTCTCATTTTACACTCACATAAAAAGACGTGTCTCACTTTTCTTTCTTTTTTTAAAAATTGGTGGGCCCCACTTAATTTATCTCACAACATGAGATAACTTCTCTCATACAACATGAGAGAAGTAAAACCCATATATATATATATAAAGAAAAATAAATCTTATGTAGGAGAATTCTAACCTCATGTCATAGATACATCAAATGTGGGTCCCATCTATTTAAAAAAACAAAAAATAAGTGGCACATCTTTTTATAGTGTGTGTAGGAAGAGTTTGTTTTCTCATGCAACATGAGAAAAATAAACCCCACACACACACACATATATATATATATAATATATAAATCATGTTAAACAATAGCAAGATGAATCTTGTTCTGTCCTTATGAAAATATCTAGTCAGAGACTAGTGTATTGATTTTTGATCTATATGCTATCTCTCATGCACTTATAGGGTAGGTATTAAGAGAATAGCGGATCATTGTGTACTGCAATAGACGGCATAGCTAAGGCACGAGGTGTGCGCACAGTGACAGCTAAGTGTAAGTGTAACACCCCAAATTCTAACAATTGATAATAGCATAAATAATTTCAATAATTTTTGTAAATAACAGCGGAAGTTCAAAATAATCAAATTTGGAAAGTGTTACTGCCGCACTTGTACTATGGACAGGTGCAAGGCTAAATTTATTACATTA